CCATTCACCACCCTATGCCACCACTTTGGGATTGGCCACCGCTGCCTCCCACCCAAGTATTCTGCAAAAGAGATTGCAGATGTCAGATTTAATTAAGTGCTTGAGCCAGTATCTTAGTTCATTCAGAATATGGAAAATGATAGCTCTACATTGTTTGCCGTGAATGAATTGCTGAATACTAAGAAACATTTCTGAGAATATTAAACAGTCCACTTAAAAAGGCCTAAGAGAAAAAGATTAATAGAATAATAGCACAGAAAAAAAATTAAGTGATTGCTCCTCCATGTAATGCTGCTTGCCTTTGAGTCAGATTTTTCAATGCCAAGACCTTTTGATGATGGCTTTGAGTTAGTGACATTATACTGACTGTTGCAAATTCTAATGACTGTTAGAGGTAGCGAATTATAAACCAAGAAGCACTGTATTTGGTCATAAAACTAGAGTGCAGTCCTGTCAGTTGAATCAAAAGAGCTTATTCCTCATGGGAAGGATTGTATCCTCCTCGCACAGTAGCTGCAGTGACAAAATTTCTTTTAATACTTCCTTGAACTATAGTAAGTGCTGAGTGAAAGTGGTTGATTCGAGGAATTATCCATTCAAAACAAAAATAAACCAAATAACTTCATTGTATGACTAGAGGGAAAGAATGGCACAGTGAAGTGTTTATTCAAATTAAGAGAAAGGAAGAGATGTTAAAAAAATTGATGACAAAAATATGGATAAAGGAATTGAAGCTGATAAAATGAAGATCACGCAAAACAAAAGGCTTGAGAAGGTGCAGCCTATCTGTAGCTACATTTAAGAAGACTTGTTTTTACCTTTTATATTTTTTGTGTTTGTTTTATTTCTGTTGAATTTCATATTTCTTTCATAGCTGTTCAGTCTTCAGTAATGTTTACTTTTAAAATACTAACCTAACATTGCTGAAAAAGTTTTTAGAATTTCACTTAATGAAGCAATTTGTTTTTGTAATTAGGCATACATGTATAATCTGATGAAAATAAGGTCTGTTAGTGTTCTTCTTATAATAAATTAATGTTTTAAAATATTTGACCATTTTTTGCAGGGATTTGATAATGCTTGACCAGTATTTAGCCAGTCAGGTGACCACTTGGGCATTTATGTTCAACTCTCATTTAAATTATGTTCTTAGCTACACCCATGTAGACCTGTAGGAACTGTTGAAATTTAGCTACTCTGATGCAACTTAAATGAAAACCTAGCCCTGTTCCTGTAGCAGTGGGAGAAAACTAACCCACAATGGGTGCATCTACATGAAACATTTACTGCGCAGTTGACTAATTGGCTATTTGGTAAATGTCTCCATGTCTACATGTGCACCCCTATTAGGCTGGGGTAAATTAATTTACTCTGCAGCACCGCATCTGTAGATGCTGGTTGGGGCACAAGGATGCTTCAGTGCAGGGGCTGCCTGCTGGCTAGCTCCATGCTGAAGATCCCTTGTGCCCCAGCCAGTCCCTCCGCAGTATGTTGAGTCAGAGAGGAGCAGTGCTTGGCTGGCAGGCCGACCCACAGGATGCCCTGCCATTCAGAGCTGTTCTGCCCCAGCTCCATGTGCTGCACATGAATAAACTGTGAAGCTTATTGCTCAAGTAAATCACTTCCAAGCACACATTCAAAGGCACATCTGGGAGCAATTAACTCCAGAACAATAAACTCTGCAGTCCATTCATGCACCATAATTGCATGAGTAGACACACCCTCTTGACAGTATTGTCTAGAGCTTTGGAGATAACTGTTAGACAGGAGTGCCACAAATTAAGTTCCTTGCTCTCCCTTTAGTACCTTTCTAATCCTCTTCTACCTGATATTCTGCGCTGCTTTCTGAACCCCATCAATCTGTCTCTGTTTCTGCTCCCAGCACTGTCTACTGTTGTGCTGCCAGCCTCCTCCCTGATCTTCCATAAACATGCAGAAGCTACTTATGCCATCTGTGGCACTCTTGCTGCTGGCTGGCTATACCTGTCTAGAGTGTGCATGTAAGAGAGAGTTTCATAGTTTCTATGTAGGGTGATAATCTATAGTTTATGTGCAACATAATAATTATACTCATAAATATCAAAAGGCATATATGGGGAGGGAGGGGGAGAGGGATATAGTAAGATTTTTACAAAAGACTTTTTTTTTTAATTCTAATAGATCCACCAAATATACATATCATTGGGAATCTGCCATTCAGTGTTTCAACTCCTCTAATCATCAAGTGGCTTGAAAATGTTTCCAATAGAAATGGACCTTTTATTTATGGCAGGACTCAGATGACTTTGACTTTTCAGAAAGAAGTAGGAGAGGTAAGATTTCATAGTTATTAGGGGCTGGAAGGGACCATTATGAATTAAGGCTTAAAATGTGTCAAAATATTGCAGTGGCAGATGACAAATACCCAAGAGGTTTTGTTTGACTGTAGAGTTTTAAAGTCACCTAATATTCTACACTTTTAAATTGCAAATTGGGGAAGCAGCCCTTGCAAAGTGCTTAAGCTTGTGTGTTTAGCTACAAATAATTTAATTAATATTAATTTAAAAATCAGTTCACTTCCTTTCATTACACGCAATAAAGTTTCTTCCTATGTGAAGCACATCTCTCAAAGGTATTAAGATACTTATAGTTTTACCCACAGATCTCTGAGTGAATTTCATAACAACTTATCTTCTGTCTTTGACTATTTCCTTCTTGTATTGTATCAAGTAGTATGAAGTCTTCAGTTATCAATTCATCTGATTTTTGCTTGGAAAAAAAAAAATCAAGTACCTCAAAAATCAGATGAGGAGTTAGGCCTTTTACCTTTCTTTGGTCGCCTCTATGCATTATTGATGTTGCACAATTAACTGGTTCATTACACAATTAACTAAAACCAGCTACAAGTGTGAAGTACCTATCGTGCCATGAAAAGGTCCAACAAGCTATAAAGTTAGATCTCACAAATGTGTACTATATAACTGGTTGGTAACCAGCTTTAACTGGCACATGTAGCAGGATCTCCCCTCTAGCTGGAAGCCCTAGCAGGTTGGCCAGGCTCCCTGCTGTAGGGGAACACCAACTTTCAGCTCTGGTAGCACCCCAGGCTGCTGCCCAGAATCCTGCAGCTTTAGGCACTGGGTTCTGGCAGCATGCCTCCTGGTGCTGGGACCCAGCTGGGTCCTGAAAGCCACAGGGTGTGGTTACAATCTCCCAGCCCAGGGAGTACCTGGAATCCCTGGGGCTGGGAGACCGTGGCAGGTGTGGTTTCTTAGCCCTGGGGGTTTCACACACCCCTGAGGTGGGGAGATTGTGGAAGCTGTTTCCCCCAGCTGCAGGGGTATGTGGGGACTGTGCTTCTTGCTGATGCATGGGGAGCCTAGGGTTTGGCTGCCCCTGCACCAGCAATAAGGCACACTGGGATCTAATGTGCAATCCCCCAGTCATACCTCCTGCCATGTACATATAGTATTACAGGAGGTGTAATTGTGTGTATTGTGTATTAGATCCCATTGTGTCTTTACCTGCATGCATAAAAGGGCCCTCTATTCCAGGGCTCCCTTTCAAACTGAATGGTTGCAATTTTGAAACAGTCATAATACTGCATTCCACCAATAATTAAAATCTTTGAAAGGAGGGAGTTTTTTCTGTGAAGCCTTCTAGTCACTGGCCTTGGCTTCCCTGAATTAAGCCTTGAAATCAAGGGTTCTCAGTAGAGCTTCTGCCAGTCTGCTTGCTACATCCAGACCCTTGTCAGAGTAAGATTGGGTGGCATCAAATCAGTTTCTGGCTCTAAGAATAGCTCCTTGAGCAGATTTGTGACTGGTTACGCTTGTAATAACTGAATCCTGTAAAAATTAACTGTACAGCCTACCCACCATCAAATCTGAGTCAGTTGACAAAGAGATATACCAAATGAGTGACTCCAGAGGATCTTCAGACATTTCTTTATATTGCCCCTCCTGAAAGCTACCACAAGGTGTGACTGTAAATAAGTTGGAATTTAATTTGTTCACACAGGAACATCTGACTTGTAATATCTAACTTGCTGTAATGTCAACACTTTAAGAAGGTGATGAAGCGGTATCAGTTTGAGAGAACTAAATTAGGTTTTTTCTGTTCAGTGTTGTGTGATTGTATTCAGATTTGTATGTCCCTTAAGTAGATGTTGCTCTTGAAAGGATAAAGTTTTTGTTTCCAGAAGATAAGCTTAGATATTAAGTTTTACCTAGAAGGACTTTTTGAAATTGTTTCATTCCTAGTGGGTTACTGTATTTGCTGCTGTCAGTCTGCTACAGTTATCACAGTGTTTGTGAGAACAGAGTTTCAGATAAGTACTGAATTGGTTCCACTAGGTGGCTGTAGAGAACACTAGGGAAAATCATTTGATATATTGTGACTTGGAAATAAAGCGGGGTTTGATAATTTTTGAGTTGGTGAATTCTGGCACCAAAGGTCTAGTTTAGTTTCTCCAAACACTTGATACTGTAAGAGGCATTATCTTAAACATGAGCAATTGGTTTAACCAACTAGGCTTTAAAACATAAAGGTGAAAGGATGGGAAGAATATGGAATGCTGTGATGGTAATGAGAAATAAATATAAAGACAGTTAGAAAACATAAATGCCCTCCGTACTTTATATAGCTATAGCCAGCTGTACATGCCATTAGCATTTCTTTCAATGTGATGTGCAGATTATAGTGTTTCCGCACCCAACATAGCACAAATGAGATGCAAAACAGCATGCACACTAAGTTCCCAGTATTTAAAAAGTTGAAAAGACTAGAACGTTAAGAAGTGGGGGGATGTGTTCACGGTCACAGAATCTGTTTTAAGATCTTTTGGTCATCTTTTTTATTTAAATGCACAAAATGTTTTCATTGCATCTTTTGTAAGACAAAAGTTATTCAGTGCTTCAGTTATTTACCTGAGCTAATCACATGCCTGTTTGGGAGTGAATCTATATTTTCCATCATGACTAGTTTGATATCCAGTCCTCTTTAACTGTAAGAGCAAGCTTCCCTGAATTTTGTCCTGTTGAATACTCTTCTTTCCCGGAATCATATTTTGAGTTACTACACTCAAGTTTCTCCATTTTGGCTATCTGTACTGTCTTGGGCAAATCAGTTTGCCTCCTTTTTTATGTATCAGGTTAGCTGTTCATAAAAAATGGCAGTTGCATTGTAAGTATTTATAATATCTATTAGATAGAAGAATGGGGATAATAGCCATTTCCTGCAGGTATCTAGATAAATGATCCTCCCCCTCTATGCGGCACTGGTCAGGCCGCAGCTAAAGTACTGTGTCCAGTTCTGGGTGCCACACTTCAAGAGTGATGTGGACAGCATGGAGAGGGTCCAGAGGAGGGCCACTCACATGATAAGGGGGCAGCAGGGCAGGCCCTACGAGGACAGGCTACGGAACCTGAACCTGTTCAGCCTCCACAAGCGAACAGGTGAGGGGGGATCTAGTGGCCTGTTACAAACTAGTCAGGGGGGATCAGCAGGCATTGGGGGAGTCCCTGTTCCCCCGAGCACTGCCAGGAGTGACCAGGAATAATGGTCACAAGCTGGCAGAGGGTAGATTCAGGCTAGATATCAGGAGGTGCTACTTCACTGTCAGGGCAGCTAGGATCTGGAACCAACTTCCAAGAGAAGTGATGCTGGCTCCTACCCTGGGGGTCTTTAAGAGGAGGTTAAATGTACACCTTGCTGGGGTCGTTTGACCCCAGTACTGTTTCCTGCCATGGCAGGGGGTCGGACTAGATGATCTACTCAAGTCCCTTCCGACCCTAGAAACTGTGAAACTATGAAATGCTTTTTCGTAGATTTCATAGACATTAGGGCTGGAAGGGACCTCAGAATATCGAGTCCAGCCCCC